CCCCCTATTCTTCCCCCGTCCCCATGCTGGCCGCTCTCTGCCGTCCTCTCTGTCCCCTCGGCCAGGGCTCATGTCTAGCAGTGTGAAGGAAGCGTCGCAGCTTCGCAGTGTGTTTGTGGCTCCGGCTGGCCTGCCCACTGGCTAGTGCTGACCTGCTCTGCCTCTCGCCGGGGGCCGGCAAGGCTGCCCGGCAGCGCTGGATTTAAGGCATGCTGAAGCAGCATCCCCATGAAGTCTGCTTGCAAACTTGCCCTTCATCTCTGGGAGAGCTGGGCGGGGAGAGACCCCACCGCTGGTTGGAGGAAACCCAACCAGGAGCAGACCAGAGACACCATTTCCCAGAGGGAAGTGGAAATCTTACTGACTCCTCAAGCCATCTCCATAGTTTCCATTTGCTTTTCAGACACAGAGACCACTAGAGCATCCCCATGAAGTCTGCTTGCAAACTTGCCCTTCATCTCTGGGAGAGCTGGGCGGGGAGAGACCCCACCGCTGGTTGGAGGAAACCCAACCAGGAGCAGACCAGAGACACCATTTCCCAGAGGGAAGTGGAAATCTTACTGACTCCTCAAGCCATCTCCATAGTTTCCATTTGCTTTTCAGACACAGAGACCACTAGGGATTCAGCCATCCTATGTAGATAGAATATTATAGCCTTAACTCTGCCAATAGCTAGATTAGAGTCTTCTGGGGTCTCCCCTAACATGACTTAGGGTTTTTATTTTCATTTCCTTGGTGGAGATGTTATTTCATCTTACAGGGAGTATGACCAAAGTCTGCACAATTGCATGAGGTTCAGCTCCAAGAACCTAAAGCCTGCCCGTGTGGTCCGTTGCTCTATGGACTTGCTTGCACCACTTGCAGCATAAGCTAATCTTCAGTGGGAGAAAGAAGACCAGAAGCAAAGATACCAGCACAATTACCTGGTGATTTCTCCCTTCTTTTGTGGAACCCATGGTTCTGAAAATGACCAGCTACGTGGTGTAGCGTCCCACGGGCTCCTTGGCGATTTGAACCCTGTTCCCAGTTCTGTTCTCAGTGATAATCACTGTCGGGGAACAGCCCTTGTGCCATTTCGGTCTCAGCCCAGAGTAGCAGCAAGGTTCAACACCTCTCCTGTACAGCGGCCACAGGCTCTCCCCTGCTTCTCATCCCACTTGGCATACACGAGGAACTCTGGCCGAGACTGAGCATCTGCTATTGGCAATTGCCTCATTGTAGCTTTGCCTTTTTCTGTCCTAGTATTTCCTCACAACAATGATGTTTACATGTGATTGCTATAGAGCTTATGTAGAATGTATATAGCGACACATTTAGGGTGGGTAGTACTGTTCTGTGCTGTGCTGATGTTTTTCAGAAAACGATCAATCAAAAAAAAAAGAAAAAAAAAGAAAGAAAAAACATTAAAAGAACAGCTAAGTGGAATTCTTCCATCTCCTTGCTCAGCCCAAGGCTGGACCTCAGCCCACAGAATGGGGCTGGGTCCAGATGGAGAATGCATCAAGCGAGATGAACGCACAAGGGTTGGACGCAGCAGCCAGGGGAGGTTTTGCAGAGCGCAGAGGAGCCTCCTCCCGTGTGAATCACTCAGTTGCTTCATGAGCACTGGTTTCCATGTAGCCAGATCTAAAATTTCACACAGTTTTCCCAAGGCTGGACTTCCCGTGTCAGCTAGCAGCCAGTGACCTTTGCAGAGCTTCTGCGCATGGAGTAAGGGTCTCTTGAGGAGAAAGGAAGATCTTGTAATGCACAGAGCCCATCAGTACTGCAGGCCTGGGATAGGAAGAGATGCAATAAGTGGTCTTTGTGTTGCCTGAAGCCTATAAATTGGAGGGGGATGGAGTAGTTCTCTCTTTCTCTCTTTCTCTCTTTCTCTCTTTCTCTCTTTCTCTCTTTCTCTCTTTCTCTCTCTCTTTCTCTCTCTCTCTCTCTCTCTCTCTCTCTCTCTTTCTCTCTTTCTCTCTCTCTTTCTCTCTTTCTCTCTTTCTCTCTTTCTCTCTCTCTTTCTCTCTCTCTTTCTCTCTCTCTCTTTCTCTCTCTCTCTTGTCGTTCTCCCTTTCTCTCTCCCTTTTTCTCTCTTTCTCTTTTTTCTCCTCTCTTTCTTTTGAATTGGGTGGTTTACCTTCCCTCCTGCCTTGGGAAGTTTCTCCTGACCTTTTGCACTGCTGCAGGAAACGCACTCGTGCGGCAGGAGCTGCCCCCTCTGCTGCTGCTTGTGGCTCCGGCCGCCTCGGCTTGTCCTTGCTGAATGTAAAGGCAGAGGGTCGCGGTTTGCAGTCCCTGCTGCTCAGCTCCACGGGCTGCCTGCCACCGTTAAGACTGGGTGTATGGGGAGGATGCCCAACTTAAGAAGCTCAGGCGTGAATATTTAATGGGTTTGGAATCACTCCTGCAAGGTTTGTGATGAAAAATAAGTTTCCATTTTTTTTTTCATAGAAAGGTATCTTTAACTTGCAGTGCTCTAGTCTGCACTGGGGTAAGGAAGGAGGGCTTTGGCACAAGGTGCAGACGGGAGTTTCCTCCGTTACAGACTGTGATCTCGTTCTGGGCCCTGCAGAGAACGCAGGGCCAGGCACGTAGCTCTGCAAAGAGCCGCCCCGAGCGCTGCGCAGGGAGCCCAGCCCGGGGCGC